GGCAGAGTCACAGGAACCAACCTCAGAGAGCCTGATGCACACCAGCAGCATCACTCCAAGAGCTGCTCTGTGCCAGCCGCTGCTCTGAGCATGCTCCACGGGACGTCTCACAATCCGCGCCACAGGTCTGTGATACGGGCTGTTATTATGCCCATTTTACAGATGAGGAAGCTAAGGCTCAGCAAATCGGAGCATATTGAATAGGCACAGAATTCCAATTGGGTATCTCCAGCTGTCAAGTAGACCAGGCATTCTCTCCCCAGGGCCCCCAGCTGCTTACTGGGTGTAAGTCAGAACAAGGGAAGTCAGAACAAGCCTCCTCTCTGCAGCAATGGAGCCAGGCGTCACCTGTGGGCATTCTGAAAGGGTCTTTGGCTTCAGCCCCACCCTGGAGGTTCCGGCCCTGGGCACCTGCACAGGTGATGCCTGGTCCCTGTGAGGAAGCGCTGTCCTCCGGAAAGGCCACTCGTGGGACACCCAGCTGCTGTGACCGAGTGTGCTCACTGAGGTCGCCTGTCCTCTGGCCGGTTTCCAGAAAGGCCTTCCCTCCCTCCTTGTGTCACAGACGAGGAAACGGAGGCTCAGGGAGTGAAGTCACCGGGTTAACAGCTGGTCAGTGTCAGAATAAGACCCCGCGTCAGTTCTGTCTGACGCTGCTGGCACGTTCCCTCCTGGCCGTGCGGATGCAGAGGGCACTGAGAGGGGAGCAGGCAGGAGTGGAGACAGAGTTCGGGAGTTTTTGTTTGTTAATTTTAAATGTGTATGTGACTGTTATTACCCAACAGAGGCATTTCAGATGTAACACTATACGTGCGTTTCTCTTGCATTCAGCAAACACAAGCTACAAATAATGGGACTTAAGGGAAAATGGGGATTGGAGGAAGACCAATAAAGCCAATGGAACTTTGTAACCAGATCACTTGAAAACATTAACAATCCTGGTGAGCATCCGAGGGGTGTTAAACCCCGATGGCGACAGAAGGGCGGCGAGCGACGTCAGGCTCCTGCTGACCTGACCGAAGCACTTTCCGGCTTCTCCTGGGCGCATGGGAACTGCCAGCCTCGCTGCTCTGGCGCTTTGGGGCCGTTGTGACGTCATGTAAGGTTGGGGTGACGTGAGCACAAGCCTGCAAGGCCGCACCGTCCAGCTGAGGCCAAGAGGCTCCTCAGTGCCCTCGGGCGGGGCCCCTGGAGCAGGGATGCGGCCAAGGGAGGGGCCAGGTCCTGCGTGGGGCTGAGTGGGACTCGGGAGATTTCACCCGCTGCTCCACGCACGTGTCCATTGCTTATTTCTGGGATCCTCCCTTCAATATTTCTGGGCCTCGGTGGCCGTGGGTAACAGTCCACAGGAAGTGGAGCTGGACTGGGAGGGGGGCTGCTGTACTTAGTTTTAATCTTTTATGTACAGTATTTTAGGAATCCACCTCAATCCTTTTGAAAACAAGATGAGCTTGGTTAGCAATAAATAAGAATCATAGCAACAGCCGTTGCTATGGGCCGGTCCAGCTCTCCCAGGAGGGTAAAGTGGGGCCTCGGGGAGGAGCAGGAGTGCCAGGACCCCGGGCGGTCAGGACGCGGAAGGAGAACTGGGCAGAGGCGAGCAGAGCCCCGGCAGGTGCGGATGAGCCAGGAGGGCCATGGCCACAGAAACCTTCCCTTCAAAGGACTTCGCACAAACCCACCAGGCACCCTTCCTCATAAAACCAGCACGCGGCAGCCACCGTGGGAGTCCGCACGGAGCATGGCTCACTCAGCGTGACAATCGTCTTTCTTTTTCTGAATGAAGAGAGACAAGCCTGTCTGTTTCCACCTAAAGTTCACCCCCACATTCCCAGGGGCCTCGACAGGCACCTGTCCGCCTCGTCTCCCCAGGAGAAGGAGCCTCCCGACTCCGCTGGGAGCACCTGGGACATGCAGACCTCCAGGGAGCAGGAGCCAGCGCTCAGGGCACCTGGACATGCGGACCCCCAGGGAACGGGAGCCAGCGCTCAGGGCACCTGGACATGCGGACCTCCAGGGAGCGGGAGCCAGCGCTCGGGGCACCTGGACATGCGGACCCCCAGGGAGCGGGAGCCAGCGCTCGGGGCACCTGCGGCAGGAAGTGGCATCTGCATCGCGGGGCGGGCGTGGGGTCCTGCAGGGACACCTGGCTCAGCACGGACTCCTGTCCCTCCCTCCCCCGCCGGCCCTCAGGACCAGAGGTGCTTTTGAGCTTCCCTTTGTGCTGCCGGGGGAGGTGGGCTCGCTGTGCCAGCGGCAATTATTTCATCTCGCTCCAAAAATGAAATAATTCGCTGCAGCTGCCTCCGAGCAGGAGCGCTGAGAGGTGCACTCAACGCCTCGTCTCCCCCGCATCCAGGAAGAGGCTTCAAAGAACCGGCGGAAACACAAATTGAGCAACTTTCTAGAAAAATCAGCCTCCGTGAATCACAGCCCTGTGGGGTTCCCTGGTGTAAACGCCGGGTGCTTT